TTCAAAATAGTCAACTAATGACTCTAGGAACACTCCGCTCTGATACCACTTGATGGTCCCGGATAGGGTAAAAGTCTAGAGGGGGGGGGGGGGGTGAATAGACTTTTAAATCTTTTTCAACTTTTAAAAGTTTTCCTCTGAAAGAGTTAATCTATAAACTTTTGAGAGTTTTATAGATGCACAGCAGAAGTCTTTACCCTTTATGTAATGAGAGTTTAGCCACTTTCTAACTAGGTGAGTATTTGGCTTAGAATGCTAGCAGTTGGCTTAGCAGGTGGCTAAGAGCAAGGAACTGCTGAGGCTACTGCTTAAGAAATGCAGAGTATATGATGAAGGTAAGGATGAGTACGATAAGGCTTTTAGTGAGTATGCTTAGGTGAAAAGAAACTATAGCTTTTTGCTGAAGCAGTGGACTCAGCAGTTGGGTGAGTGTGAGGGAACTGCTGAGGCACCTGCTTGGGTTAAAAGCTTATTGAGTTAAGCAAACTTCTTGGTGATGTAGTGACAGTCTGGTGATGTTTGAGATGTTTGACACGAAGTAAGTATATATGAGCAGAGGGCTCAGCAATTGGGTGAATTCCAGGGAACTGCTGAGGCACCTGCTGTACTTAGAAAGTGAATTTCAGAGAACTAATAGAGTGATCCTTTCAAGTGATAATGGTGCACGTTAAAGGTGTGAATTTTGTCTCAAAGAGAGTGAGTAATTAAGCAGTAGGATAAGCAGTTGGGTCAATTAAGACAACTGTTTAGGATGCTGCTGGCAAACTACAATCTTTATGTGAGAAGTGTTGGGTGTGTGCTTTGTTGACTGAAATGAAATCAACACACGATATATCCTGGTTCAGAGGTGGTGTAATCCTCTTACGTCCAATCCCACCCTCTTTCAGATGGATTTCACTAAAGTATTAAACCCAATACACTTAGTGCCAATCTAGCCTTTACAACGTTTTAGGCCTAGATTGAAGATTTTTCACAATGAGTATAGCACCACTCAAAGTTACTCAGTCCTTAGACTTTTCTCTAATGAACCAGTGGGGATCAAAAGGTACTCTATCTATCTACTTACACTGTAGGATCCGAACAACTGTTCTCCTAAGTGTTTACAACAATTTGTGATTTGTTACAAGAAAGTTCTAACCTCCAACTAGGAACTAAACTTCTATGATGTAGCAATGAAGAGCTTGTAAACTCGAAGTTTAGTGAAGCAAAAGTCCAGGCAGAGAGTAAAGTTTAGAATAGCACTTTCTCTTTTGCTAGATATCTCGTGAATGCTTGTGAAAGAATTTCTCTCTTTTTGGATGCTCAAAGCTTGGTTAGAAACTTTCGTTTCAGCCTATATTTATAGGTTTCTTCTTTGAATTAATCTCATCCGTTGGTTAGGATGAATTAATCTCTGACGTTGAAATACATACAAGGACGAATTGTACGTTTGTCTTCTTGTGCTGGAGTTGATTTCCGGGTGATTTCTTTGTCCTTCATCATTTAGCCGCTGAGAAATCTCTTCAGCAACAATTCCACATGAGCTTCTTCAATGCAAGGACCCCAGTACTATGTTAGCATTTAATGCTCGTCAATTATGTCTTCAGTTATGTTCGTTCAATGAATGTAATTTCCGAGCTTGTGTTCTTAATAATGTGACATATAGTTAATTTTTGAGCTCAAATAATATATACCGGTAGGATCTAAATATCCTATTAAGATAAAGTAAAATTACCTTATTGCATTTTAATTTTTCCGGTAATATTTAAATTGACTCAAAAATTGTACATTTATTTTTGTCACATAACTTTCAATATTAATGTACGAATAATATTGAGAAACAATGTACATGTGCTACGTATAGTGGCATCATCAAAATCTATCAAAATTGGGCACTAACAAATAAGGATGATTATCAAGAGGCAAGGACTCCATTAGATAAAAACGTACACCTTACCAAAAATCATGGAGAGTGTATTTCTCAAGTAGAATACGCTAGGATTATTGGAAGCTTGATGTATCTAATGAGTTGTACAAGGCCTGATATTGCCTTTGTGGTTAGTAAGCTAAGTAGATATACTAGCAACCCCAGTGATGAACACTGGAAGGCAATAATAAGGGTTTGAGGTATTTACGTAAAACCCAAAACCTTGGACTGCACTATGGAAGATATCCAGTTGTACTTGAAGGGTATAACGACGCTAGTTGGATATCCGACATAAAGGACTCTAAGTCCACAAGTGGATATGTTTTCACTTTGGGAGGTGCAGCCGTGTCATGGAACTCCTCAAAACAAACGTTAATAGCTAGATCCACGATGGAGTCTGAGCTAATAGCCTTGGATAAGTGCACTGAAGAGGCTGAATGACTACGCCACTTTCTCGAGGATATTCCAAGTTGGGAAAAGCTTGTCCCTCCAATATGCATACATTGCGATTGTCAAGCGGCAATTGGAAGGGTACGGAGCAATATGTACAATGGTAAGTCTAGACACGTTCGTCGTAGACATAACACCATTAAACAACTCCTCACAACGAGTGTTATCACCGTTGACTACGTGAAGTCAAAGGATAACATAGCGGATCCGCTAACCAAGGCATTGGATAGAGAATTGTTGGAGAAGTTGTCACGAGGGATGGGACTAAAGCCCGTGAATTGAAAAGTTCTATAGTGGATACCCAACCTAGTTGGTCCTAGGTTCAAAAGGGACAACTAAATTATAGAGCGAAGGATGGTCACTGTGGGGCCCCAGATTCCTACTCACTCCTCGTTAAAACAGTGACTCCCGCACGAGGTTAGCAAAAACGTTTGCTTTAATGATTCTAAAATGTTGATCTACTCGATAACATTGGAAGAGTATGCGGGATACTCGTGAAAGAATCACCTATGTGAGAGAGAAGAGGGTCGCTTCAAAGGAGAACTGTAAAGGCTCAATTATTTAGAAACTCTTGCAGAACCAGGACGGTGACCCATGGCCAAAACGGGCACACCCATGAGAACGGAACAAAGTTGGAAGGTTCTTGTGTAAAGATAAGTCAATGTTTACATGACGACAATATAGTTCAAGGACATCGAGTCTACTAGACAGCCAGTAAATAAACGTGTCTTTACAGCGGAAGGTTCAAAGGATAAAACCTACCTCTCCGTATGCAAGGATTATCCGGTGAACACAACGTGTCCTCCTATCTTCGTGTCTTTTCAAGTCTCGAAAATCAATTTTCATTCATGTGGGGGATTGTTGGAAAAATGTGTTAAAAATTGCATTAAATGGTCATTTTGGGGTAATTATTTGAGTGAGGTCCACTTCCGATTTGGGTCGGGTTAAAGTGGTTTCGGATTGTCCTTGTTAAGGGCTACAATTCAATATGTGGTACACTCAAAACGGATAACGGGTGAATGAGAAATTGATTCTCGAAGTTCACTCGTTGAAATGGAAAAACTGGGAAAATGATGGGTTTCTAGTGTGTTTTATCCCACACCGGAAAACTCAAGGGATTTTCACCCCTTATAAAGGGAAGCCTCTTTTAAGGAGTTAAGATTCCTAAAGGTAAAGGCTCTCTCTTACGCGTAGGGGGGGGGGGGGGGTACCGATCAAATCCCGAAACAGAGAAGAAAAACCGCGACTCGTGTGCGCGAGCGACTTGCGGACACGAATGCCGTCCGAAAAATCTATCATTCAAAGATCCGATCTAATTTTTGTTTCTTCCCGTAACGTTTTGTTTTTCCCAGTGCCAGAAGGGGTCCGAAACAGAGATGCTCCGTTTCTGTCTGGAATAGAAGTGCTCGAGTTATGTCCTTGTTAAGGGCTACAATTCGATATGTGGTACACTCAAAACGGATAACCGTTGAATGAGAAATTGATTCTCGAAGTTCACTCGTTGAAATGCAAAAACTGGGAAAATGATGGGTTTCTAGTGTGTTTTATCCCACACCGGAAAACTCAAGGGATTTTCACCCCCTTATAAAGGGAAGCCTCTTTTAAGGAGTTAAGATTCCTAAAGGTAAAGGCTCTCTCTTACGCGCAGGGGGGGGTGCCGATCAAATCCCGAAAACGGAGAAGAAAAACCGCGACTTGTGTGCGCGGGCGACCTGCGGACACGAATGCCGTCCGAAAAATCTATTCGAGGTGCGCGGGCGACCTGCGCCATAAGGGGTCCGGAACAGAGATGCTCCGTTACTGTCTAGAACAGAAGTGCTCGAGGTCTTCTGTTCGCAACAAAGACTCTCGAGGTCTTCTGTTCGCAACAGAGACGCTCGAGGCCTTCTGTTCGCAACAAAGACGCTTGAGGCCTTCTGTTCGCAACAGAAGGTCTTCTGGTCCGTTACAGCAATAAATGCCCAACGTTCTTGTTTTTCAATGCTGCGTTAAATGGACAGTTTATGGACGATTCAATGCCCAACGGACTGGTCATTGATGTCCAACGTCCAGGTCCATTAAGACCCCATTTAACACACAACAAATCCCCCTATAAATAGCTGGCAGGTGCTTTGCAACAAGACACAACACACAACACATTCCCCACGTTTTCTTGAGCTAAAAACACTTCCAGCTACTCCGAAATTTCTCTAGTGTTCAGCTATTGTTCCAGTTCGCCGGGACTTTCATTTGTGTGCTCAAACGATCGTTCGTTAGCCACTGTATCCTGGGAAACGGTCGTTGCAACGCTCCTAGCACCGTGGGAGGCGACAGATACGTTTTAAGGACATCGTGCGTAGCACGAGCTCTGACTAAAATCTGCTCCATCTTATTTCTGTTTTCTTTTAGCTATTTTATTTATTAATTAATTTTATTTAATTAATACTTCTTCGTTTTTCCGAAACACACTCAACTATATCTGTCTGACACATGAAATATGAAAGTAAAATTGTGTGATTAATATATGTGCAACTGTGCACATGATGAATAAATAAGTAGAATCCCAATATGGTCTCTTTAAAAGGTAAGTTGCAAAATATCTGAAACCATTTAAAGTAGAGGATTGAAATAATTGAATAGAATGTTGAGTTGATTTCGAGTGAGACAAAGATAGTACTCCCTCCGTCCCGAATTGAGATGCAAACTTTGACCGATAAGAGAATTAAGGAAGTGTAGGGATAAAAAATCATTTTACCATTCTGCCCTTTCTTTTATAAGTGCTGCACAAAGTACATACGTACTTTTCAAATCAAAACAAAACCAATGATTTTCCAAATGAATGATAATTATACTTCGTCCCAATCTCCCCTGCCCAATTTCTAATTTTCTACACTTCAGTTTTACCATTACAAAAATACTTCCGTTTCTACTCTTCTGAAATATCCTAACTTTGGTGCACTTTTCTTGAATGAGGCCAATATACTCATCTCCTTCCTTGAAAACTTGTATCTTGACTATCTTCATCTGAACACGCCCAATGGACATCAAGAGTCCCCATATGTTTTCGTCTGGTCTCTGTCGGACAGCAACATCTCCCGTAGCTTCTACGATTCGACCCCTATCGCAAGTAGCTGGTTCAATGATGGTGGCAACGACTGATTTGCGAAGTTGTCCGAGGGTAGCACGGCGGTGGAAAAGGGCGGAGACGGAGCTGATGGAATAAGCAAGGGAGGTCACGTGCTGATTCTTCCCTGAGCCGGAGCCTCCTTTTTTGTCTGTCTTTGTCTTGAAAAGGGGAAGGAATCTGGCCATGGAGAACTTGAAAATGGGGAGAGAGATGGGATAAAAGTGATGGGATAGTGATAAGAGAGAGATAGGTGGGAATTAATAAGTGGATGGGTGGGTGGCGGATTAGAAGGCAGGAGAAGGGCAAGCTAGTAACTTTAATCATATTTCTATACCTAAAATGGAAAGTGGAAACTCATTTTGGAACGATCCGAAAAGGAAATTTTGCAAAACAAATTGAGACGGAGGAAGTAATAAATAGATACGTAGTACATTTTTAGTACTTATCACATAAATTGCAATATTGTACTTAATTCTATTTGTAATAATAAGTACAAGCTCGAATGAATCTTATAATATAATTACATGTATATTTACAAGCTACGAAATAATTACATTTACAATTTCTCCTAAGTATGAATATAACTCCTAATATCATTTTATTTTTATATTTATTTGAAGTTTTAAACCCCCTTTCAAAGAATTGATTTTTGGCCTAAAAATAAATGTACACACACACACACACACACACACACACATATATATATATATATATATATATATATATATATATATATATATATATATATATATATATATATATATATATATATATATATATTCACAGAAATCAACCAAAGAATGCTTCAGAAATGTTGGCGAGCTGTTGCTGAAGCTCTAGGATTTCAACACGAGCGCGGTCCCTCTCTTCCGCGTCGTTCGCAGATAAGCTCTTCGATCTGTTCACTATTTTCCTTTGGATGCTTCTCACCTTTCTGTAAGGCCAACGCACCAACCCATCTCTCCTGCATATCTTCTTCATCACTGTAGGGCAAATGTTCATTCTCCTTGCTGCTTCTTCTATAGGGAGATGAAGGTACCCTGCAAAGTCTTTTAATTTCAACTTTCCAGTTCTTTCTCTCTGAGCAGAAAGAGGGACCTTTTGGGGCTTATTCCCATCCTCTGGTGCATTGTTTTGATTTGGTTGATTCATTAGTTGGTTAACACCTGTTTCGCAAGAACTAAAATGTCAGTATGTAATAAGAGTCACATTTTAATTAATGCTTGTAGGTTGGTTTTTATTTATTTCATAGTATTATGACACATTTACTAATAATGTCAAATATACTATTTTCACTAACCTGTTTATACATTGTATTTTTGATGCAACACTCTCATATTTTTATAGATTATTCTATTCCAACACATTCTATTCCAAAATTTTTATAGATCAATGAGTTAATGATAGGGAAAATTCCCGAAATAGGAGTAAAAAAGTTTGAAAATTCCAAACTAGGGATGCCATATTTTTATTCTCAAAATAGGAGTAATTACTGTCAAGTTTGGAAAATACTGTCATGTTTAAAGTCTGGTACTGCCAAAACATGGCAGTAATTAGTCCTATTTTGGGAATAAAAACATAATATTCCTATTTTGGAATATAGGAACGCTTTTAGTCCTATTTTGGGTAATTTCTCTTAATGATACTCCCTTGAACACATGGTTTGTGTTATGTACCAAACTTTACTCTAAAACAGTTTTTTTTTTATTATAAGTTAGGACATAAACTCATCCAAATAAAATTACAGCCGAATAATATGCAATTTAGTTTTACTTTGATAATGTTTTTCCAATCATATCAAATTGAGCCGGACTGAAATCGGAAAAAACCAAACTAAACAAAAATTGTATAATAAAATGTTACAATGTTTTTTAAGAGCTAACAAATTCAATCTTGAACCAAATCGAACTCAAATTTAAGTGTTTTAAGTCAGATTGAACTGAAACTTGAATAACCGAATATAAAACCTAAATATCACCCCTAAAAATATATACATATGTAGATGTGAGCACCTGAAGTTGAAGGAGGTAGTTCAAAATAGGAGTCAATGTCCAAAAAATCAGTCCCTCCTCCCAAACCAACACTCATAGCATCATAGAACTCCCACAATGGGTCTTGAAGCAAAATGTATCCTTCTTGTTTACGATCCTCGAAATACCTCACCAAATACTGCTTTACCGTAGCGGTACTTTCCTTGCAAAAGCTGCAACACATAAACAAGCCATTGTTACAACTTACAACTATTGTTGTTGTGAAAAAGTGAACATGCAAGTAAAAAAGAATCGAAATTAATGTTATAAAGTAGGAAATAGAAAATAGAAAACACGCTTTTGATTCATTTTATAATTGCTTAAAGGAATGAGTATTGCAACACTTACGAAGTAGGAGTAAAACCGTTTTGAAATCCAAAAATAGAACTCCCATATTTCTATTTCCTAAAAATAAAGTAATTACAAATTTATAACCATGTTTTGGCATTATCATAGATTCAAAGGAGAGCCTCAACCAATCTAAACTTTGTAAATCATTCAGTTTATAGGCAACAAATTTAGTCTAATATATGTAATTAATATGAAAAGGTCCTTAGATGTCAAGGTTTGCAAAAATATAGGTAGGATTAATTAATTAACTAATCGTCTTACTCGAAAGTTTGGTAGTGTGAATGTAGAGAAAAGTCTGAAGAGAGTTTCTCTAGGACTGCATGAGTGATCATTCCAATACTTCCATGCAATTGAAGTTTCCATATTTGCAAGCCTAACAGAGTGATCATTACTAAGTATGAGAATAGAGACCTGCAACTCTGTCCAAGTTATATACAAACAATCTATGAAGCACGAAAACTCAAGAAAAATATCACATTTTCATTTCAGAAATTCTACAAAAAAGGAGTACTTTGTTTACTAATAAAACATGGCGCTTCTAGTTTCTCTTTTACAGCGTTTTCGTGCAACATAACTGATAACAAGTACTTATTTAATACGGCCCTTAGAGCTTTGCCAACTTTCCGGTTATCTCAACAACTTTGACACTTTCCCTTTTAAATAAAGAATTTGTGGTTCAAGTTAATTCTCTCTCCTCTGCACAAACCTCAACCACACAACTTTTCATTTACCAATTCACGTGTCGGTCAAACTTGACCAAGTTTTAAGAGGTGAAGGGAGTACTATGTAATAGCCTGTTTGGTAATACCAAAATCGATTGAATGCGATGATTCAGCTGGAATTTATGAAATTCTGGTTGAATTGTTTGAATTGACTGATTATGTTGATTTATGTAAAAAATATTTAAAATACGGAGTATATTTTATTAATAAAATAAAGAAAAAATTATATGTAAAAATGGCTAAAATGGTTCAATACAGTAATTTCAACCAATATAATCAGAAAAATAACTTCAACCTTATTTTTCTTATTATTACCTAACTCAGCACATGGAATCGAAAGTTACGTGTCTGATGATAATATACACAACTCAGCACACGAAATAAAAAATCGATGATAAAATCATAAAATGGCTGATAAAGTGAAAATAGATTTACGGACTCAAAGTTATGTAACTTATAAATTTAGAACCTTTAATTTGCCCAACACGCACCATTGGTATGAATTATTTCACGAAGGACCAAACACGCTTTACAGATGGACGTCGGAGATGGTAAAGCCATTGCCGGCCATATGGCAGTGGTCGATGTCGTCGGGTTCTCTACGTACTCCGGAGCACCAAGACCATTAACATCTGGGAAAGTACTTGAAACTCCGGCGTCAGGGAAGCACTCCTGAAGTAATAATTCTTCAAGCAGTGGGTCCACAAAGGTATTAGAGGCGGCGTTTGGTTGACCAGGAAACTGATGAACATCGTTAAAAGGACAACTTGGTTGCGAGAGAGTGGGATTATTCGGAGGCTCGGCGGGTTCCAGACTCCATTGCAGTTCCGGAAAGGTATCGGGAATTTCATGGCTTTGATTGAATGGAAGAGGAGGGTCACCGAAAGGATGGGGATGAGGGAAAGGGGCAGATCCGAAGTTTGAAGGGCCTGCCATCTTCGGGCCCTGTTGGGCCCCACGGTATGGCGGAGAAACCTGGCTGTGAAGGCGGAGGCCTATGGCTGGGGGCAGAGACAAATTGGCGCGAGAGTGAAGAGGCAACGGAAATGAAAGGTTCTATTTTAGGAAATGGATAGAAGAGTCTAAACGGGAAGTAATCCTCCCCGTATTAATAGCACTACAACTCTAAAAAAATTCCCGCTCACCCGAACTGCCATTATCATCCGTCCGATTTTATGCTCCTCAATCTACGGCTTCTACCTTCCTTACTCTTTCAAAACGCTCTGAAATCCCTTCACTCATATCATCCGGATCGATGAATTCTTCTTCTGAAATCTGAACAACCTCAACAATGGATGGTGCTGCTCCCTCCTGCCTAACTCTTTCGCCGCTCATTCCAATCGTCCGTGTCTCAGAGGTACAGAGCTACGGCTAATCGTCTGAAACTTCTCAAATCCCGTTCATTCATATCATCCTTAGATGGACTAATTCTTCTTCAGTATGGTTTTGGTTAAATTGACTCTTCGTTATATTTCTTTTATCACAACACTTTAGTATGTTATTGGTTTGCTGTTAAGAAAAGGTCTTTCTTTGTTTCAGTTTTTTTGACATTCTGAGTTTAATATCATTCTGGCAGGAAGGAATTTTGTTCACAAATGAAGTTTAGGATACAAAAAGTAAACAGGAAATTCTTTAGTTTGTTCTTCATTTATTTATTTTTGAAGTTAGATTTACTAACTATGTGTTTTCTCAATTGCTACAGCCCTCAAAGGAGTCCCAGTTAAGACTTGAGAAATGGATCCTAATCAGTAGGATACACAAGGTATATGTTTACTTCTTCAAAAAAGAAGACTAAATTGGTGGTCTTCGGAAGTTTTGTCATTTTGCCTACAAAAACTAATTTTGCAGAGAAAAGGTTTTCTGATATTAAGCTACACATGACCTTCTTTAAGCTTAAATGTTTTCTTATTCTAATGCAGTTTTTTATGAAATTCTGAATGTTTTATGTGCTTTCTTATGTTTCTAAATGTTCATATGCTTCATAATATTCACTATTATAGTATTATACGGAGTATAATTATAATTATGTTTTTTTCATGTTCTTTAGTCTACGACTTCATCCCAGGGTGTGCATATCACACTTTATGTCCCACTTTGATAGGGAAAATAGTTTGTTATCTTTCAGCATATCTTATTCAATCTCATTCATTCTTCTTCAAAAAAGAAGACTGAATTGGTAGTCTTCAGAAGTTTCCTCAATTTTCCTACAAAAATTAGTTTTGCAGCAAAAAGGTTTTCTTATATTAAGCTTCTATGCTTGGATCATTACTCTTCTTTTAAGCTTCACATTGTCTTCTTTAAGCTTAAAGGTTTGCTTATAAGCTTCTAAGCTTGACTTCTTACTCCTCTTTCATGTTTTAAATTTCTTGTCTTATTTCTCATTTTCTGATTTCTTAATTGTTTAGGTTCAATTCTTTGTACTAGTGCTGAACTACATGCTATTTATCTACTTCAATCTATTCATACTTAATTTTTGGAATGGTTGGACATTTTTAAGCCGGAATTCACTTTAGGCAGATTTAATTTTAGGCAGTTTTTTACCATTTTGTGAAACACAAGGTATATGTTTACTTCTTCAAAATCTTTTATATGGTTCTCTTAGTCTTCATCCCAAATCTTCTTGATTTACTTATTTCTTGCCATAACATTTCAAAATACAATAATGGCCTAAGAAAAATAATATATCTGAACTACAACCTCTCATCTCATGCAGTTGTTTTTTATAAAATTCTGAATGTTTTATGTTCATTTTCTTGCTTTGTTATGTTTTTAAATGTTCATTTACTTCATAATATTCACTATTTATATAATTATGTGCCTCAATATTCTTGGGCATTGCAACTTCTTTGATTAATAGGATTTTCAAAGCTGTTTTTAAAGTAATTGCTGCTTCCAAATCACTCCCATGCTTACATTGCATAAGTTCATTTACTTAAGAATATTCACCACTTATATAATATTGTTAAATTCTCTTTTACCACATTCATATCACATTATCACTGTTTTAATGTATTATAGCTAGGTGCTGTGATTGGCTCAAAGATAAAAGTCTTCTGGAGTTCATATGGCCCATTTGTTGTAATTATTCTCATGTATATCAGTATATCCCCAGGTTGATTTCAAGGATGTCCTCTTCACTATTATCTAAATCCATCCAAAGAACTTCATGGTTGGAGCGGAGTTTTGGGTTGATTTTAGAGCTATTTTCTTTCAGTTCTATTAAGATAAGTTTGTAGCTGCTTTTTACATTTGATTTATTCCAGAATATGCACATTCATTTTAGTATGTTTTTGGTTACCAGCATGTTACTTTCAGTTCATTAAGATAAGTTGTAGGCACATACAACCACATTTTCCCTGTATGTGCCTCAATATGCTTGGGCATTGCCAGGGGCGTATCCAGGGGGGCAGGGGGGGGAGCTGCCCCCACTCAACCCCCACCAAACCCCTATATATTTAATAAATATTATATATGTATTTGTGTTAAATACATATGGATTATATATTAAACATGAGTAGGATAATCAAACATCTTCATGCAGCACAGCAGCCAAAAAGTGGAGGATGTGCACTTAGTTTCCTTCTAGGTCGTGGGTTCGAAGCTCCCTCATGTTTTTCTCAATTTTGTTCTTTTTGCTCTTTTGAAGCATAAACTATTTAAAGTGACTATATATTTCCATTTAATTTTTTTCTTGCAACTTTAACAATTACGAATTATTTTTTTGTACATAATATAAATTAGTTTTGTTAATGTACTTGTGAATTCGAAATTTAAATTAATTTTTAGTACATAGTTATGTTTTCAATTACTTTATTCCATTTGTTTATTTATTAACATAATTTTGAACAAATTACAAATACCATGTGATTAAAATTTATTTATGACAAAGTTAAAATTTATTTTTTGTGATTTTGTAAGTGTGATATCATAATGAATTTGTTCAGTGAATATTCTGCTGTTAACGTTTGTCTTTACAGTATTTTTTGTTAATGTGATTAGTCAATGACACATGCGGGATAATATTTAAGGTAAATTCGCCCCCACTGATGAATTTTTCTGGATACACCACTGGCCATTGCATTGGATTGTCAAAGCTGTTTTAAAGTTAAGTTTGGTCTATGACTTCATCCCAGGGTGTGCATATCACACTTTAAGGACTGTCCCACTTTGATAGGGAAAATAGTTTGTTATCTTTCAGCATATCTTATTCAATCTTATTCATTATTCTTCAAAAAAGAAGACTGAATTGGTATAGTCTTAAGAAGTTTTCTCAATTTTCTATAAAAATTAGTTTTGCAGAAAAAAGATTTTCTTATATTAAGCTTCTACGCTTGGTTTATTACTCTTGTTTTAAGCTTCACACTGTCTTCTTTAAGCTTAAAGGTTTGCTTATTATAAGCTTCTAAGCTTGACTTATTACTCTGCTTTCATGTTTTAAATTTCTTTGTCTTATTTCTCATTTTCTGGATTCTTAACTGTTAAGGTTCAATGCTTTGTACTACTGCTGAACTACATGCTATTTATGTACTACAATCTATTGATACTTGAATTTTTGAATGGTTGGACAGTTTTAAGCCAGAATTCACTTTAGGCAGATTTAATTTTAGGCAGTTTTTGACCATTATGTGATACACAAGGTATATGTTTACTTCTTCAAAATCTTTTATATGGTTCTCTCAGTCTTCATCCCATATCTTCTTGAATTACTCTCTTCTTGCGATAACATTTCAAAACACAATCCTGTATACCTAAAGGCATAATCCATCTCCCCAAAAATTTGTCCACTTCTCACCCTAATTTCATATATACCGTTGTATTGTCCTCCATAATTCTCCCCTGATTTTCCTCTTTCTTCTTGCTCATAATCATCAGTTTCTTCAGTTTCTTTTTCAATGTGTTGTTAGTCGCAGCGAAAATTGGAACATTAACGGAGCTCTGATTTCTCAACGGTTCATTCTCTTTAATGTCTCAACCATTAATTTTCTTTCCCGTTCTCATCTGAGTCCTATATTCCCCTTTTCTCCATTTTTCAGATTCTATGTCCCCATAATAATCATCCATTCATCCACAGCCATGGTGTGAAAGCTCATCACAAACACAATTCAATACGGAGTATTTCAATAATTTAGGTATGATGTTTCATTTTCTACGTTCTACATTGTAATTGTTCATTCTGTGTCTCTACTAATCTAATTGCCCCCGTTCCCATTTTCCTCCTTCCTCCATCTCCATTGTCCTCTCCATTTTTTTAGCTTCATCCATCCTCATCAATTTCAGTTTTTCAGTGACAGTCTCTATGTAAAAAATTCATCACAAACGCAATTCAATATTATTATGGAAAAATGGACAAGAATAATCCCAACTATTAATGACCCGCTTGAAATAATCCAAAGTATCAATTATCTCAAAATAAGTCCAACTATTGAAAAAACATCTCAAAATACTCCAGGGATAATAAATAATATGTAAATGACTTATAATATTTTATTGTCCCTGGAGTATTTTGAGATATTTTTTCAATAATTGGGATTATTTTGAGATAATTGATAATTTGGATTATTTCAAGCGGATCACTAATAGTTGGGATCATTCCTGTCCATTTTTCCTATTATTATTTAGGTATAAGACATTTCATTGTCTACATTCTACACTCTATGCTAAGGTTGAAATGCATCAGGGTTGAATTCAATCATCTCTAGAACCGCTTATTCTTGCCTAATTTGTTTTCTGATAGATCACAACAATTTCACAGAAGAAAAACAGAAACAATATAGAAGAAATCTCCAGAACTTTATTGAATGTAACAAGCAACAATGGCCGAAGCCCCCAAAAGAGAGAGAGAGTGAATCTCAAT